AAGGTGACCTGCCAGTAGATGATGATCACCAATAACTAAGCTATATCCACACTAGGCTAATAAAAAACCTCAGAAATCCTTCACATTCTTTCCTCCATGTTTCCTTTATTCTATTAGGTAAATGTTGGCACTCAAGTTTAAAATGAAAGCCTGTATTGAAGATGATAGAGCTCAGGTCCTTAAATGTGAAGCAGAGTTTCCCGCCCATCCTACTGGATGTAAGTAATTTCATGTAAGTTCTATCTTAATAAGGACTTCAGTTGTTTCAATGGCTAGAGTTTCTTAATATACTTAATATATACCTAATATAACCTCTCTATTACTTTATTTAAACATATGGCATAGTTTTTATTATATCTGTTTTTTAGTTGAAGAAAATAAGGCTCAAGACAATTAAATGACCAACCTAAATAAAGGTCATTCAGTTCATAAATGACAAGGCTAAGGTTAGATTTTCTATTTCTTCTTGAGTCAGTTTTTGTGGTTTGCATATTTCTAGACATTTGTCCATTTTTGTCAAGGTTTTCTACCTGTTAAGCATACAAATGTTCTGTTTTCCCTTATAATTTTTTAAAATTTCTGTAGGCTAGTAGTTGTGTTTTAGTAATTTGAGTATTCTTTTTTTCTTGTTCAGTCTAGCTAAAGGTTTGTCAATTTTGTTGATCTTTTTGAAGAAGCAACTTCTGGTTTTGTTGAAAACCAGACATTTAAAAGAAACATAATGTAGAAACTCTGGAAATCAGATTCTTCTTCCTCCCTGGGGTTTCTTGTTGTTATTGTTTGTTATAGTTGCTTTTTGTTTGTTGAGGATTTTTCTGAACTATCTACATAAAGTCTGCATTCTTTGTTGTGTGTGACCATGAAAGATTCTACTTGGTTAGTTTGGTGCTCAGCTTATGATTAGACAGACTTCCTTAAATGTCTGGAACCATTATGTCTTCCAGTGTTTACTGAAGGTCTGGGTATGTTGGGACACGACATCAACACTAAGCCATGCACCGCCAACTCTCTCTTAGCCTTCATTTCTGGCTTTTACAGAGCCTCAAGGTCAGCCTATGGTACGCTTCTGGCCTCCTTGGGTTTTTCCTGATCTGATGTACAGGTTATCACAGCCCTGGGTGTGTGGGGGTTTCTAGATTCCTGTGAATACACTGGAGTTTTTCAAAGCCCCTACAGACATTCTCCAACTTTTCAAGCTTTTTGTTTACTCTATTGTTTGTCCCAACTGTTTCCACCGCCTAAAGTGACTGGAAAGTCCATCAATTCCCTCTCATTCATTGTTTTTTTTTTTTAATATTTTATTTATTTATTTGACAGACAGAGATCACAAGTAGGCAGAGAGGCAGGCAGAGAGAGAGAGGAGGAAGCAGGCTCCCTGCTGAGCAGAGAGCCCGATGCGGGGCTCCATTCTAGGACCCTGAGATCATGACCTGAGCCGAAGGCAGAGGCCTTAACCCACTGAGCCACCCAGGTGCCCCTCATTCATTGTTTTTGACAAGTGCTTCTGGAGTAAAGGCTTTTTGCACTGGCTTGGCTCTGAATCAAATCAAATGAAGACAGCCTTGCAAGTGAGATCTTCTAGGGAACCACCAGTTAGGTGAAACTCTTCTCTTAGAATTAGGTTTTGAAAGCACTCCAATCTCATTCAGCCTCCTTCGGTGGCTGCCAGGTGGCTGGTTTTCACCACGATTGTGTGCTACTGTTTTTCAGTGCAACAGCCAAGCTGGAGCTGAAGGGATTGGGTTAAAACAAGTCAAAACATCACAAAAGCTTGCTGTTCTTACTGAAAGATTCAGCTGTTTTCTTGGAAAAAAAAAAAAAATGCTTCCTGGATTGCTGCAAGCCTTTGGTTAATATCCAGCATTCAGAAGAAGTTTATTCTGACAATTTTGCCAGTTTTTTTTTCACTACTCTAGTAGAGGAAAGAATTTTCAGAGGTCCTATGTCTCCATTCTGCTGATGTCACTGTAAGACTATATAATTAAAACTCAGGCCCTCTCGCTCCTTGACCAATCAGTCCTCTTTCTATGTTATCTGTGGTCATCAAACTTTATGTGCATCAGAATCACCTGGAAGGTTTGCTAAGCTACAGGTTGCTGGGCTCAACACTTAGAGTTTCCAATTCAGGACCTAACTGAGAATATGCATTTTTAAGAAGTTCCCAGGCAATGCTGATGCTGTTGGTCTGGGGATCACTCTTTTAAGAACCATTCTTTTACACCATACCTTCAACCCATTGCCTTAGGGAGTGCTTCTTAACTCTAGAATCAATAATTATTATATGTATAAGCTAATAATATATATTATCTCTATATACACATAATAAAATAATACATAAGCTAATATGTATTTAGTACTTACAAGATGGTAGGTATGATACGCTTTACCTTTATGAGGTTTTTTTAATCTACTCAAAGACTCGTGAGTAGACATTATCACTTTTCCCATATTTAAGTTGGAAATCAAGGCCAGAGAAGTAAATAGATTGCTCAGAGGCACAAAGCTACAAATTCAGGAATTATTATAAAGAATATGGTCTGTTTGATTCTAGAATACATTCTTTAGGCCTCCACAGCAGTGTTTCCCAAAGAGTAACAAGATCATTTCTGGTGCCCTGGATGACTTCACTTGGGGCATGCATGCAGGATTTTAAAAAGTGACTCGCATAGTGAGAAAGTGATTCCTATTTTATTTTATTTATTTATTTTTTAAAGATTTTATTTATTTATTTGACAGAGAGAGATCACAAGTAGGCAGAGAGAGAGGAGGAAGCAGGATCCCTGCTGAGCAGAGAGCCCTATGTGGGGCTCGATCCCAGGACACTGGGACCATGACCTGAGCAGAAGGCAGAGGCTTTAACCCGCTGAACCACCCAGGCGCACAAAGTGATTCCTATTTTAGCTCTAATTTTCTATCCTTTGATTACATCACAATAAAAACACCATTTGCATGCTTGATCTTTAATGTGTCTAATGCTTGGTAACCTCCCCTTTTAACAGGCTCAGTTTAGGCTGAGACATTAGTAGGCAATTGTTTCTAGCTATTACGTTAAAAATGGTTTTGTCAGGGGCGCCTGGGTGGCTCAGTGGATTAAAGCCCTTGCCTTTGGCTCAGGTCTGGGATGGAGCCCCACATCCGGCTCTCTGCTCAGCCGGGAGCCTGCTTCCTCATCTGTCTGTCTCTGCCTGCCTCTCTGACTACTTGTGCTCTCTGTCAAATAAATAAAATCTTAAAAAAAAAAAAAGAAGAAGAAGAAGAAATGGTTTTGTCTACTTTTCTTACCAATGCTTTCAACCTAGGATAGATGATGGAGATTTTCCATCATAGTCTTTTTATAAAGTTTCCCTCTTAAAGAAATTGAAAGAAAAAATACATTTATTTAAAGAACATAGTAAGTAATACTGTTAGTAGTATACACACAGAGATATGATATGAAAAAGATTGAAATTTGAGAAACCCTGCCCTAACAAACTTGTCAGTATATCCAATTGAATCAATACTGAACATCCCAAAGGGAGATTAGAGAAGTGTGATTAAAGTATGAATTATCTTTCAAAGAGGGAGAGACTTGGATGGAAAAGAGCCACAGCTTCTAGAGCAACATGTGTAAAGCAGAGAAACATCAAGTGAGAAACGATTCCTTGGTAAAACATGTACTACAAGGGTGGGCTGAGACTTAGATTTGATTTCACAAATGTCTATAGCAAATTCTTGTAACTGAAATTCCCATAGTAAATTTTGGATAATTTGCTCCAATCTACAGGGAAAAAAAAAAAAGTAAAGTCTCAGTTCACTAGCAGATTTTGCAGTTGCCAGGGACAGCACAAGAATTGGGGCGCTTAATTCTTGGGGGAGGGACGCGATAAATATATCCTGGGCACTGGGCGTGTAAGTGGAAAGAGTTGAGGGGGTTGGGGAATAAGGTGGGAGGAGAGCAGGACTGTAATCAGAGAAGCAGACATGTTCAGGATGGAAAAAAAAAAAGGACATGTGTGGGACGAAGAAACAATTTAGCATCACTGACATGATTAAGTAAACTGTTACCCCTGTTTAAATTAAGCAAGATGTCCAGGGACTACAGCTGTTGTATTTATTTTGGTTGCATGTGATGGGAGCTGTTACTTCTCGGCTTGACTGCGGATTAGTCTCTAGACGCAAACTGGAAGCTTCTGGTCAGGCCAGGGCTCTAGAGAAGAACCACAGACATCCCCCATCCCCCGCGCCAAGAGAATGAGAAATGAGGATGCAAGGGTCTTACTGCAGCGTGGGAGGGGAAAAGGCACTAGATAGAGTTCAAAGTCAGGGTGGGGAAAAGTGCCCTTCTTCTATTTTTTCTTGTCCCACCCATATCTGAACTGCAACGGATTGAACCTTATGCCAGGAGACAACCTTGTTACTCAGGTTTCCAGCCCAGTTAGGACTGATTTTAATGCCTCCATTTTGGTTGTTGCTTTGGGATTTCTGAAAAGGTCTAGCTGCGCCAGCCTTCTCAGTTCTCCACACCCCTTTCCCTTTCCCTGAGACCCCGCCTTTTCTCCCAGGCAAACCACAAAAGGCCGTGCCGGTCCCAGCCCCAGCACGATGCCCCGCCCCCTCCCCGAACGTCGCAGTGCTACAGGGAAAGGAGGTGGAGCCAGACGGGGACCCGGTTGGGGGGAGTATAGCTTCATCCTTCCGCTCTTCGGCCAATCGGTGGAATCCTTCTGAGCCAGAAGGGGTCCGGAGAGTAGACACAGTCCCAGTATATTTCCCTTTTTCTGCCACGTCCCAACCATTGACGTGAGCCCACTCCTCGGGTTCCGATTGGATAGGTGGATTTTTCCCGCAGAGGTCCTTTGAGTCTATTGGTCGGTGCTGTTCGAGGGCGGGGCTTGCATGTCCTCCTCCTTCGCCTCTACCGCGGCGCTAGGGGCGGGACGCGCCGCGGACACCGCCTCTGCTTCCGCCGCCGCTGCCGCCTGTAGCTGCGCGTTCGGCGGGGGAGGAGTCGGAGGCGGAGAAGAAGGCGGTGGTGGCGGCTGGAGGATCGAGCGCTGTTCTCGCTCCGGAGCCGCTGCACGGTTCGGTGAGGGGATTTTTTTTTTTTTTTTTAATCTAGCTTGTTCTGATGTCAGGAATGTGAGGGTCGGGGCGAGGAAATTGCTGCCTTCCCCCCCTCCATTTCTTAATTTCTCTCCTCGAGAAGGAGCAGGGCCTGTCCCTGCCCGCTGCGCCGGCCATGGTGGGTGGGGTTGATGGCTGTGAGAGGCCTTCTTCGCGTCCTGGGCCCGGTCCAACCCGGACCTGAGGCCGCGCTCGAGTCCGTGGCCGCTGGGCCCGCACACCCCAACGAATGGCATCGATTGATCTGGGGGTCTCCACCGGCCGCTGTTCCCCGCTGCCTCTTCTGCTGTCCTTGGTGCCGTGGCCAAGGACCCCGCTGCCTTTCTCCCGACACTGGCGGCTGTATGAGTGTGCCCCCACCAAAGCCTCACAGCCGCCTTCTCAGCCCATTTCCAGTCATCCCGCATAGAGCTGAGCCATCTTACGCCACAGGCCTGCAGCCCCCGTCCCCCGAGAAACCTTCCGCTGCGGCCGCTCTCTTGGCCGTATTTGTATTTTTTCCGATTGTCACCGAACCTCGGGCACGCGGACACCCAGTTCAAACCATAGCAGTCGTTCTCCCGATATTAGCACCATTCCATCAATGCTGGTGCCAGTTAGCGATGTCAGGTCAGAGCACTCTAGTACATCTGCCTTCAGTTTCGGCCTCCCTCAGATTACTGCCTGTTAAACATTTTGCGCATATTCAAAATGGTGAGTTTCAAGTCGCCCAGACCAAGTTGCAAAAAAAAAAAAAAAAAAAGGGAGGAGGTAAATACCCTTTTTGCAAGGAGGAGGAATAATCTATTTAGGAGATTTCCCTCTCCAGGCATAAAAAATTTTTGCGTATGGATGGACGCTGCTTTGAGTCTGGTGGTTCTGTGAAGTTTACGATTTAAAAAAAAAAAAAGGCTTACTGTATTCTTATTTTTATCATGACCTATTTGGTCAGTTAAATTTCCTTAAAATGGCAGTCACCTGTGCTGAACACTATAGATCATTTGAAGAGTATGTAAATAAATACGAAGATAACAAATAAACGTTTTAACTGGTTTTTTTTTTTTTTTTTGAGAGTCTTTTGTCTCCTAGAATTCATGTCATTTTTATATGAAGTAAGTTTAAGTTTTGAAAATTAACCACAGACGTGCAGGCGTGATGTAAAATTGAACAATATAGAAAAAGGACTGTTAGGTAAAATGTGAACATTTCTCATCCTCCAGTCTTAATTCAGTGTCTAAAGTTAACCATTTACTGTGCATCTTTATAAATGCGTTTTTAAGCACAAATATGAAGTTGGATTTTGTGGGGGAGGGGGCGCGGAGGAATACCAAACACATTGGTATATCACTTGTTTCTCTTGTTTGTATGTCTTGCACATCTTTATTATGTATAGGTTTCTCTGATACTTTATAAAGGTTAAGTAGGATTTCATTAGTTTGAATGAGAGCTGTAATTATTTAACCTATTGAAAGACATTTAATTAGTTTCTTTTTGCTATCACGAATAATGCTTTATTTGAAGTCAACATTAAATTTGATTAGTTTTAATACAAACTTTAAATCTTAAAAATTTTTTAAGAAAATTGGAGGAATGTAAGGTGAAAAGTGCAGCTCTCACTTCCCCCTTGTAGTCCTACCTTTATTTTAAAAGTCGACTGTTAGGAAAACTTCCTCTGATTATTTCTGGAGCATGGATTCCTGCAAATGGAATTGCTGGGTTAAATGTTATGCATATTTTAAATTTTGATAACCATTTCTCCCTCTTTTCAGAATTATTCTTGACTGTTTCTTATACATTCTCCAGATAAACTTTAGACTCAACTTAGAAGTTAAAAAAAAAAAAAATCCTTTGGTTTTTTGAGTGATGTTACATTGAAATTTTAGATTAATTCGGGGCGAACTGACCTGTATGATACTCAGTCTCTCCCCTCATTGCTGTATGCATATATGGTATGTCTTTCGCTTTTATTCACATCTTGCTTTATATTATTTGGTAGAGTTTTATAGCTTGTTTTTTTTCCCCCCCTCCCCCATATGTGTGGCATTCCTTCCTAGTATTCCAAGCTATCTTTTGATTTCCTCTAGTGGATGGAAACTTTCAGTGACATTTTCTCTCTCTCTCTTTCTGGTTATAGGAAAACTTTTGGATTTTTTTCTGTTTATCATGTATCTGATCACTTGAGCTGATAATTATCTGAAAGTATTCACAGCTTTCTGGCTTACTTTTCATATTTTATAACTTAAGTGTTTTCCTCATTGCTTTGGCTAGTATACTTCCTATATAATTTTGAAGAATAGCAGTGATAGCTAAAAATGTGTTGTTTCTGACTTTGAGAGAATGCTTCTGATGTTTTAGCATCAGGTATGATGTTTTCTGAAACTTTCTGGTAAATGGAGAATACTAAAATATTTTCTGTTCTTGGCTTTCCAAAATGATTTTTGTTCTCTTTTATTTCTGATGACATTTTTAAAAACTATCAGTGGATGTTGAATTTTATTGATGTTTTTGATTTTTTAGTGGTTATATAAGGGCATCACCAATATTCCCTGGTTAATATTTTCCCAAAGAGGTCCATTTTAAAGACTCAACTTTATAGAGGGTAATTTAGATACAATAAAATGTGTTTTTAAAATACACAGTTCAGTATCTTTTGACAGATACGTACATCCCTGTTACGACCACCACATTCAAGAGTAGAATGTTTTCATTACCACAGTCAAGAATATCTGTCATTCCCAAAAGTTCCCTTTGCCATGTACAGTAAGTGACATTTATATCCTTCAGCCCCATGGAATCATTGTCCTCTCTCTCTCACTATAATTTGGTTTCATTTGTTCTAGAATTTTATGTACATGGAATTACATGATACATACTCTTATGCATTTAGCTTTTTTCTCTCAGCATGATGTTTTTGAGAATCATACATGCTTTTGTGTGTTTAACTGATTCATAAGTTTTTAATTTTGAATAGTAGTCTGTGGTGCTGATTTAGTGCAATTTGTTGACCATTTCACCCTATTTATAGATATATAGACTGTTTCCATTTTGGAACAGTCTTTTTAATTTTAGCCCTTCTAGTGAGTATGTAGTAGTATCACGTTATAATTTTAATTTGCATTTATCTGATGATTAATGACACTAAAAATTTGCTCTTGGTCATTTGTATGTCTTCCTTTGTGAAGTATCTGTTCAAATCTTTTGCCCATTTTTAAACATTAAGTTGTTTGTTTCATTGAGGTTTAGTAATTCTTTATATATTTTTGTGTAAGTCCTTTGACCTACACAGACTTGTATGTACACAATGCAGTCTGAGGCTTACCTTTTTGTGTTTCCTAACTTTTCAAATTAGAGGATCTTTTAATTTTTTTTCTTAAAGATTTTTATTTATTTATTTATTTGACAGAGAGATCACAAGTAGGCAGAGAGGCAGGCAGAGAGAGAGGAGGAAGCAGGCTCCCCGCTGAGCAGAGAGCCCGATGTGGGGCTCGATCCCAGGACCCTGGGATCATGACCTGAGCTGAAGGCAGAGGCTTTAACCCACTGAGCCACCCAGGCGCCCCGGATCTTTTAATTTTTATTAAATTCAGGGGCACCTGGGTGGCACAGTCCTTAAGCGTCCAGTTCTTGAGTTTCAGTTCCGGTTGATATCTCATGGTCATGTGATCCAGCCCCTCACAGGCTCTATCTACACTCAGCTGAAAGTCTGCTGGAGATTCTCTCTCTCCCTCTTCCTCTCGCCCTACAACTTGGGCTCCTCTTTTTCTCTCTCTCTCAAATAAAATAAATCTTGAAAAAAAAAATTCAGTTCATCAGCCCTCCTTTTATGGTTTGTGTCTGTGTTCTAAGTTTGGTCAATGCAAAGTTATGCAGCTCTCCTCTTAATGTTTTCTTCTACAGGCTTTATTGTTTTAGCTTTTATGACAAGGTGTATTATGCATTTTGGGTTAATTTTTGTATATGGTGTGAGAAGAGTTAAGGCTCATTTTCTCAGTTCTAGCACCATTTGCTAAGAACACTTCTCTTTCTTTATTGAATCAACTTAGTCAAAAATCAATTGACCAAATACAAATGAGTCTATTTGTGGATTAACCCCTTGATCTTTCCACATATCATTATTTTGCCAATACCACATTGTCATGATTATGTTGTTGCTTTATAGTAAGTCTTGAAATCAGGTAGTGCAAGTCCTTGAACTTTGCTCTTTTTTTTTTTTTTTTGGAGTATTTACTTTTTTTGTTGTTTTGAAGTTTTTATTTGAATTCTAGTTAGTTAACATATGGTGTAATAATTAGTTTCAGGTATACAGTACTATGGTTTGATGCTTACATACATCACTGGTGTTCATCACAAGTGCACTCCTTAATCCCCATCACCTATTTAACCCATCTCCTCCCCACCTCTCTTCTGGTAGCCATCAGTTTGTTGTCTGTATTTAAGAGTGTTTCTTGGTTTGCTCTCTCTTTTTTTTTTGGTCCCTTTGCTTGTTTGTTTTATTTCTTAAATTCCACATAGGAATGAGATCATGTGGTATTTGTCTTTCTCTAACTGACTTACTGTTTTTCAAAATCATTCTTGCTATTCTAGTTTCTTTGCTTTTCCATAAAATTCTTTAGAAGTGACTTAGTGGTTTCAGTCTTTCATGATTAAATATATTAGGGCCTTTCATCAAGTTATTATTATATATTAAGTATTATTTTGTATATATTACCATGTTAAGTATACTAGGCCTTTTATCAAGTTAAAGATGTTCTCATTCCGTTCCTTAATGTTGGGAATTTTAATGACGTGGACATTGAATTTTACCATATTTATGGAGATGATCATATGGCTTATCTTCTTTGGTCTATTAATAAGTTGGATTACATTGCTTTATTTTCAGATGTTAAATCAACTTTGCATTCTTTAGATAAACCTCATATGGCCATAATGTATTATCATATTCATAAATTTGTGGATTTGATTTGCTCAGTTTGTTGAGTACTT